CTCTCATAACCACGACGCTCATCAACTATGTAAGAATGGCCATAAATCACACTTTTTATCTCGTAAAGGCATGACCCTTCCAATTGCGCCGCGTATAATCGCCATTGACATGAAAGTCCCCAACATTTAAGGATCATTAGATTCGGCGTAGATCTTGAGTTACGGTATTGAAACTAATGGTGTAAGCTGTACAACGCCATGTGTTGTTTAAAAGATTCTCGATTTTTAAAAAACATGCCCACGAATAAATCATGACCATTATATCTCGGGTCGCCTACATTGGAGAAAACTTTGCAATTAGACACAAAAGTTTTAGCGCATATATTTTACAAAGTACTTCAACATGGTATATTACAATGATTAACTGATACTGATATGTTTTCACTTAGCCGCAACAAAATTACATAACCGGTCTTGAGAAAGATGGTGGTTAAAAGTATAGTTACCACCTAAGTGTTTTCAAAATACTTTTCCGTGATCATTATCCGAAGCTGCATAAGATTACAATAATACTTAATCATCATAAGTTATAGATTTAACACCCACCAAAAGGACTCCGACACCCATCAGAAGAGCTCCCACCAATATCCTCTTCGACCTCTGGATTAGTGTTAGCTGGAACTGGTCCGGAAGTTAGTGTACGACCGAGATAAAGACCGTTTTCTTCATTAAAGCGTGTTGCAAAAGTGTCAACATGATTTTTGGGGGAACAACGACAGCACTACTACTTCCACCTGCGTGTAAAAAGATTAGGTAATAATAATTTTGGTTAGAGAAATTAATATAAAATTAAATTTCATTGCTACATATCTATTTGGAAATATGAACACATATATGTATATGTGTATGTGCCGGGGATAATGGAGGCAATTCATTTTCTGGTTGTAGCATAAGAGTTGGGTCGCGAGGTGGAGTTGGTAGAATAAGTAGGTCATGCTCTGATTCTGATGTGTTGTCGAGTTTTACCTCTCAACTAACTACCTGTAAGTGCACAGCAATCACAATTAGTATAGATAAGCGATTGTATCCACAAGACTTCTTAACCACACTTCAAATTGTAATGAATAAAACTAAGCTAGAACAAGATATTTTGTCGTTTTTGTGATTGAGAATAAAGTAAGCAACGAATGTAAATTGTAATGAAAATCAATAGAAGAAAAGCGCTAGGACTTAGGTAATTCGCAGAGAATCATGCAACAATAAAGATTAATTGATTTTAGAGATTTAGGAATTATGAACTGTCTAGAACACAAAGTACTGATTTAAGGTCATTCCACTGTCGTGACGTAACTAACCATCTACGTTTTAGCACCCTAATAGACTCAACTGTCGTAGGTTATTACAAGGTGAAAACATGCATTAAAMTTCAAGTTTGYTAAAGTTCACRGAARTCRTTAACTAACCTTTCAAATTGTTAAGACGTTTGGCTCATCAAATACTAGTTCAG